AAATTTACTTTTATTTGAGTGTTATTGTCATATGAACAATTTTAATTAATTAATTAATTAAATTCAAATTAAATTTTATTACATTTTATAGACATTAATTATAAGATGATATATTTATTACATTTTTATCTTATATTTTAAAAACACAAGATAAAATATCTCAATAAAAAATCATATACCTATGAGACCTACTATTCTCCACACTATGAGACAGAGTATTTATGACCCGTCAAAAATTTCCATAAAAATCCTCATTCCTATCATTAACAGGTGATGGGGCTAGAAATGGAAATAGGGAGGGGATGTGTCTGTCAAAAATTTCCATAAAAATACTCATTCCTATCATTAACAGGTGATGGGCTGGAAATGGAAATAGGGATGGGATGTGTCCGTAAAAAATTTTCATAAAAATCCTCATTCCTATCATTAACAGGTGATGTGGCTGGAAATGGAAATGAAAATGAAAATGAGGATGGGATGTGTCTATCAAAAATTTCCAGAAAAATTCTCATTCTTATCATTAACAGGTGATGGAGCTGGAAATGGAAATGGGGATGGGATGTGTCCGTCAAAAACTTCAATAAAAATCCCCATTCCTATCATTAACAAGTGATGGGGTTAGAAATGGAAATGGAAATGGGGATGGGGTGTGTCCGTCAAAAATTTTTCATAAAAATCCTCATTTTTATCATTAACAGGTGATGGGGCTGGAAATGAAAATGGGGATGGGATGTGTAACTACTTTCGTATGGACCTCGGGACCTGTTACCATTTCTAGGTCTCATCTAGTTTGAAAGCTGTCATTAATCACCAGTTGTTTGTCCTATCTATACCTTAAAGGTATGTGTTAAAGTGTAATAAATATATTTTTTTATAATTAATTTATATAAAAAATAATAAAAATTTACTTTTATTTGAGTGTTATTGTCATGTGAACAATTTTAATTAATTAATTAATTAAATTCAAATTAAATTTTATCACATTTTATATACATTAATTATAAAATGATATATTGATTACATTTTTATCTTATATTTTAAAAACACAAGATAAAAAATCTCAATAAGAAATCATGTACCTGTGAGACCTACCATTCTCCACACTATGAGACAGAGTATTTATGACTCGTCAAAAATTTCCATAAAAATCCTCATTCCTATCATTAACAGGTGATGGGGCTGGAAATGAAAATGGAGATGGGATGTGTCATCAATAATTTCCATAGAAATCCTCATTTCTATCATTAACAGGTGATAGGGCTAGAAATGGAAATAGGGATGAGATGTGTTTGTCAAAAATTTACATAAAAATCCTCATTCCTATTAGGTGATGGGGCTAGAAATGGAAATGGAGATGGGAGGTGTTCTCATTCATATCATTAACAAGTGATGGGGCTAGAAATGGATATGGGGATAGGAGGTGTCCATAAAAAATTGGTTTAAGTACCATTTTAGTCCCTCAACTTTGCATTTTGGTACTAAAATTGTCCCTCAACTTTAAAAAGTACCAAAATTATCCTCAAACTTTTATTTTCGGTACCAAAATGATCCTTCCGTCAGTTAAATGACAAGTGGCACGTTAAAATGCCAGCAAATCATTTTTTTTTTGCTTAACTCTAATGACATGGAAAAAAAATATAATTGAATATGTTTTATTATGAGGTGGCATTTTTTACGGTGGTATTTTTTTACACGTCATATTATCATCTTTCTCCTTTTAATGGGACCCACATAAAAATTTATTTTCTCTTTTTCCAGTTTCAATCAAATTCCCCAAAAATCACAGTTTTCTTCGTTTCTCCTTTCATTTCCTTTTCAAATTAAAAACCCTAAAAACCAATCAGATCATCCTTCTTATTCTTTCTCTCCAAAATCAAAGTCTCTCTTCTCCCTTCATCATTTCCAGATCTGGGTTTTCAAAATCAGAGTCTTTCTTCTCCCTTCATCCTTTCTAGATTTGGGTTTTCAAACCCAGAGCCTGGGTTTGCAGACTTCCGAGTTAGCTGAGTTAGTCCCGAGTTTACCTCCGGAACTCGATCTGGAGTGCCTGATTCGCTTACCTTACACCGGCGTTCACCGTGTGGCTTCCGGTGTTAGCCGGCGATGGCGGGATTTACTTCAAAGTCAGGATTTTTATTATCACAGGAAGAGGTATGGGTATACTCATAAAGTTGCTTGCTTGGTTCAAGCTTTTACTGCTGCTGCTGCTGCTGGAGTCGTTGATGGGCAAAAACCAGGTGACTTACCGGGTTATGTGGTTACTGTGTTTGATTCTGTGAGTCAGTCGTGGGAGCGACTTGACCCGATACCCAGTCACCCAAATGGGTTGCCTTTGTTCTGTCAATTGGCGAGCTGTGAAGGGAAATTGGTCAAAGCGGTCGTTTTTCGCAGCCGGGGCTTGTTCGGGTCGAGTCTATGTGGCAGGCGAGCACGATGAGAACAAGAACGCGTTGAGAACCGGATGGGTTTATGATCTGAGAGTGGATGAGTGGACGGAGTTGCCTCCGATGAGTCAAGAGCGTGATGAATGTGAAGGGGTGGTTTGAGAAAACCCAGAGCGTTTGCAGAGGTAAGAAAACCCAGATCTGGGTTTGAAAACCCAGATCTGGAAAGGATGAAGGGAGAAGAGAGACTCTGATTTTGAAAACCCAGATCTGGAAATGATGAAGGGAGAAGAGAGGCTCTGATTTTGAAAACCCAGATCTGGAAATGA